ATATATATATATATAAATATATATATGTAATCTGCCACCTTTCAGGAAGTCCATGGATGTATTTAAAATGTTCTTGAATTTTTTTTTCTTTATCTGCTGTGGCCATTTTCCACATTAACATGGTCAAATTTATTCCTTTTCCCCCCTTTTAATGGCAAAAGTATTCCTTATGCCACAGTATTCATGCAGCATAATTTACTACTAAGCTATTTTTCTTGAATGAATTATAAATTGATGTTTGGCTTTGACAGCTTACAATAAAGACTGTTGCTTTTCTCTATAGGTGCTCCTGGATGTGCGACAGGGATACAGGGGTGATGACTAATGGATGAGATTAGCTGGTCGATAGCTTCTGGTTTGACTGTTAACAGTCAAAAGTAGCAGTTACTGGTTCTCAATGAAGTGGAGTGTAAAAGACTTACCTTGGCCTCTGTCCTATGCCCTTGTTATATCCATTTAAAGTAATACATATTTTTAATAAGATCATACTATATGTTCTGTTTTGTAGTCTTTCACCAGTATTCTGTAGCTCTCAATCTACATCATTATATGTCTAGTATATTCTTTCCAATAGACATAATATTTTCATATTGAAAAATGTATATTAATCAACCCTCTATTCACAAACAGATGCAACGTATACCAAAGGATGTACATTTTTTTTTTAAAAAGGCAATCTATCACCTACCTATGAACCCTATCCTTTAATTTTCTGAATATCCTTCAGTATTGTCCCATGGCATAGTATTTATGTAGACAAATCTTACCCCTAGACAAGGGTAAATGCATTTTTACTTAGACAAGTATACACAACCTCTGAATTTTAACAGAATACTGGTGTGATTTTTTTCTATCAGAGCACATACTGAATGTTCACAAATAAATCTGTTGCTAGGCTATTTATTCTATTTTCTACACCTGAATTTTTAAATTTCTGCATTAATAAATAATTCTGCTCTCATTATATGCTTTTTTATACCTGGTAGAACATTTGCTTTCACCTCTCATGAGCCTGCTTTTGCAAAAATTTCCTAAACATGTTGATACCTTTGTCACATAATTCTTATTGCTAATTTGTGAAATTCTGTAAGCAACACTCACTGAATACCTGATAGAAATTTATTAAGGTTATATTTTAATTTTTACAAGATGCACATGCTTAAAACATTGAGTATTTCCTTCCAGGTGTGGTGTGTCTTTGCATTTATTAAGATTTTTAAGTACGTTAGAGTTTTGTAAATTTTTGTATAGAATTTCTACATTTCCTTTTAAATTTTTCTGAATACCTTATAGGCTTTTTTCATAGTATGGAAGTGATTTTTAAAATAATATGACACTGCTCATTGCTTTTATCAGGAAAAGCTATTAATCTCCATGTACTTTATTTATCTTGGATGGAATCATCTTACAGTACACTTCCATTAGTTTTAACAGTATTTCTGTTGCTTGCTTTATATATCTTATATACAAATCTTGTAATTTGACTTTTCTTACTTCCTATTCTTTTATCCTGTTAATTCAAACAACCAGTACCATTCCAAATTTTAAAATACCACTGTAGACATCATTTTATTATTCCTCACTCTAATTATTCCTTAAGCCTTCACATTCCACTGTGAAGCATGATTTAACATTCTACCTTCATAATTACTCTTTAAGAAGTAACTATTGCCATTTCTCCCATTTTTACTCTTAGAATTCTGGTCTGGTATCTTCCTTGAATTTGATCAAGTGATTTTTCCATGTGTATTGGTACAATAGTGTTTACTTGAATCATTTACAGCCAATGTTTGTCCAACATTTAGCCACTCCTGTATTACTAAAAAGAATTCTACCACATCTGTATATTTCTTTACTTCTTTCTAGCCAGATAAAGGTGAACCAAAGCTTCCAGGTCTCGTGCTTCCTTTCCATACAGGTTTCGAGACTGCTCTCACACATGCTGATGTTCTGGGTTTTGACCATGAGTATGTGTTTGTGGTAATCAGATTTCCATCACTATGACCAAATATGTACAATAATAGACTTATAAAGAAAAAAACAATTATTTTTGCTCACACTTTTGGAGGTTCCAGCCCATTTTCATTGGCCCCTTTGGTTTGGCCTGTGGCGAGGCAGTGCATCTTAAGCAGACCACGTAGCAGAGTAGCAGGGTAAACCACCTATATCATGAGCCAAGGAGCAAAGAGAGAGGAGGGGCTAGCATCCCGATATCTCAAGGACACGTCCCTCAATGACTTAACTTCCTCCCACTAGACTCCACCTCCTAAGGGTTTCAGTATCTGTCAATAGTGCCACACTGGGACCAAGCCTTTAACACATGGATCTATGAGGACACAGAAGATTCAAACTATTGCAGTGGTCATAGTGTGAGTCTCAAAAGCCTACACAGAAGGGCCTTCACTGCTTATCTCTCAAGAAAAGAGAGCAGCTCTGAACTAAGAGATGGTGAAGCCTCCTCATGTTCTCATAATAGTTAAACTTAGTTCCACATTTTTCATGGGGGTCTATTCTTATTCTATGATAAACTGTGCTGTACTAAACTTCCAAGTTAACACAAGCCAATTTAAGAAGGTATGTCTATAATGTATGTCCAGATGAAAATGGACAGTCCCTCGGTCTCTGAGGCATGCACTCAAAGATCTCCCCAGCTTCCCCCAGACCACATCCCCAGGCTCAGGTACCAGGCCTACCTATGGAAGGGGCAGACTCACCTTCATCTCCCAGGTTCAGAAGTATCTGAGATAATACATGCTCAACTTTAATTCAGGTCCAGCTTCTCTAGTAACAACATAAAACCAGGTTCATCACCTCACTCCTACCACTGTTGTACCTGTTTAAATGTTCCTCATCGTTCGAGGTGTAGCCAATTCTCTGCTCCTTCACAGAGATGCCTTTCTAGAACACACTATTTTCCCCTTCTTGGGGCACTCGTAGGATGTAATAGCCATCTGACACATGATTTTATGCTTGAATGGAAATTCTTATATAGTAATTTACTCCTAACAGAAATATTGAATATATTATTCTTGATTAGAAGCAGCTATGAGAATAGAGACTACATATTACAATCTTGATACCTTGTACATTATCTACCAAGTGTGTAGAAGCTCATAAAAATTGTTGGATCTATAAGCAAATATTAAGTCAGTGATTTTTGTTTCTGTCAAAAACCCCTCCCTGAATCCTTAAAAACATTGCTAATTTATAAGAATCCAAGTAACAGGTATTAATGTATGACTATGCATTTTCTTACCTTCAAAATAAATTTAGGCACATGATTGATTGATCAATGGATTGGTTTTTTGATAGATATATTTTAAAATGTATGTGTAATCCCTGAACAGCTCACACACATGGGAACACATACAGACTAAGGCCTTGCTAGGACAAGCATTACTTTTAGACAGAGGAAGGCCCTCTGTGTATAGGATAACATGCATATTTCTTTCACCTTTCCCTAGATGGCCCTCTGAAATCAGTGGGGCTGGCTCCTGTAGGAAATAATGAGAAATTATAATAAAATAATGTCATTTCCTAGCAAGAGAAATGGAGTAGGATTGAAAAAACAAAACAAAATTTAAAACACCCAGTTCTGAAGGAGGCTGAGGCAGGATGATCACCAGTTTGAGTCTTGTGTGGGCAACTTAGTGAGACTTTGTCTCAAAATAAAAAATAAAAGGACTGGAGAGGCAGCCCATTGATCCTGGGTTCAATTCCCAGTACCATAAAAAAAACCAAATCAACTGCATTCTCACTCTCAATAAGCTCTTTACTTACACTCCATGCGATGCACCTTTCAGTCCTGCTCACTTCTCAAGAGTCTTGGGGATTATGAGCAACAGAGCAGGAGACAATGATGTATGAATGTAAAGGGTTAATGCAAACATGCAAGTTGTCAGATAGGACACTATAACCTCTTACAGTTCCACATCTCTTCCCGAGAGACTATTTTCACAGGCTGAAAACTGTTGTGTCATAAAATGTGGTCACCGGTGTCAGGTAAAAGGGCCGAAGACCAAGACCAGACCAGGCCACAGCAAGCCTTTATTAGGGGAATAGATCTGCCGGGCTGTCTCTGAACAAAGGAGAGACAAAAGCAATATGGCCGGGGCAGGGAGAGTCTTTTATAGAGACTGGGGTGGGGC